TAACTTTTTTCCAGGTGTATATTTGGTTAAACAGTTTATATAGAGAAAGAAGACGACAACTCACACATTTCTAGTTCTTGTATATATAGCAGATCGTTGTTCCGTTAGTAATTTAATAACACCACCTCTCCAAATATAATAGGGCAAATGTGTGTGTTTTTCATAGCAAAACCAGGTCAGATTATCTGCTGTGTCCCCCGAGAGGAATCGAACCCCTGATTTTAGCGTTGTAAATCCACAGACTTACCGCTGTTCCACCGGGGGACCATAAAATAGGAAATTGGTAACTAAGAGTAACATTACTGAACAGAGTTTTTCTGTTGGTTAAGTTAGGGCACCTGTTATCTGCATCGAGTTTATTTAAGATAATCTGTGATCAGTATTGTAATATATACATTTATTGTAACCTATATTGTAGATATTATTATAGATAATTAATATAGCTTCGGATACTAACATTTCAGTCCATAATGAGATCAGATCAAAACTAGATATGCGTCCAAAAAGCTTTTGGTATCCATACTGCACCCCCCCCCCCCGTTAGAAAGAGTGTGTGTGTTGTATAATCGAGAACTACAACTTGGACTACAGTAAAAAACAACCTTGTAGTGGTGATCGATCGGTGATCGGTATTGTAATATACACATTTGTTGTAACCCATATTGTAAATATCATACTATTACGTCTCCGTTCGCTAGTTGATTTTCCGTAACTTCGTTCCGACGAAACTTTAGCGACATAAGTCCTTTCTTAATAAAACTGGTTTATTCTTTAGCTCTATAACAAACGCTAGCACGTCTCACGTGCTCGTGCTCGACAATACTTAGTTCAATTACTCACTACCTACACATTGTCCCGTCACGTTGTGACCATCTTATATATACCAGTCTACCCCAATCTAGTAAATGCTAGGGCATTCACGAAGGAACAGGATATTTCTAGAAACGTGGCGTGACACTAGTCACGTGACCTCGCTGACGCAACACTGCCCCTCCTTAGTATTGTTCGTACCGAACAATAACCACATTCAATACACCAATAATAATTAACAATAACTTAATTAAATGTACAGAATTACAATCACAAAATTACAATTCAAAAAAGTCTCTTAATTTTACGGGACGTATCTTCTTCCGTACTGGTCTCCATCTCGTTGGCTTC